GGTGGCGGTTCGGAAACACCCCTCTCTGTAGCAGAACCAGAACAGGGTCTTTGGCACCAGTCCCCCCCCCACTCCCCTCTCCTCCAGAATGACCCCAAACGTCTCCCCAAAACCTTTCCCAACATCGAGTCCTGGGCTGCGTTCCCTCTAAGCCGAGTGAGTGTGAGCCAGCTCACCGTTTTTTAGCCTCCAGCTCACACAGTTTCGCCTCAGCTCAGGGAGGAGGGCTGCAGAACAAACTAACTGATGCAGAAGCCAAACCGCTCGCTCACAACGTTAACGCCGGTAGCTCAGAAAGTGGAATTTTTGCTCACAGGACTCCACAGCTTAGAGGCTGGGGGCAGAGGGTCTAGTGTCAACCCCCCCCGGCCACCCGGCTCCCCCGGCGCCCCTGAGCTCTGCCCTCCAAGGGAAGCGCTGCATGCAGACACCCCCTTGGAGAGAAGGAGGGGGGGCGAGCTGTCGCCCACTTCTGGAGTTTCATTTGGGGGGGGGGTTCTCTCTCCTTTTTGGGTGGGTGTGTGCGCGCGCATACATATATTCCCTTTTTAAAAAAAAATTAAAAGCGAGCGCCCACAACACTCGGCCCAGACGGAGAAGAAGCTCTCTGCGGAAGATAAAACAGAGAGATTGTGATAATAAAAAAAGAGAAAAGAAAGTGGGGAAGGGAAAGGAAGGGGGGGGGGGGCGCGGCGGCGGCGGCAGAGACCAGGCGAGGCGCGTCCCGAATGCGAAGCCTTGTTCGTCTTATTATCAAGTTAATTAAAGGCAGCATCTGACAATGTCACTCGGCTGTGGAAAAAAGGATTTAAATGCAACGTCTCCCAGGACTGCGTGTCAAGGACTGCTTTCTCTCTCTCTCTCTCTCCCCCCCCGTGTTTTCCCTCTCTCTCTCTCTCTTTTCTTCTTCTTTCCCCTTCCCCTGCTCTTAAGGCTGAAGGAGGGAACGGGTTTGGCGTGCGCTTTGGAAAGGGGGCCGCGATCCGGCAGAGAAAGAGAGAAGGGGGGGGGGGGGAGGCTATTGCGAAAAAAAGAAAAGAATTTTGATGTTGGAAATAATAAAAGGAAAA